ATGGAATTTTTTTCAAAATATGATACGTAATATGACCGGGAAGTTTGAAATATTTTTTTCAAAATTTCATCACACTCATGAACATGAACAAAGTCCTAGACATCAACAAGGTTTAATAGGATTGATATGATATATATATCAACAAGTGGCTGTGAAGTGAGCTGGTGCAGGGGTTGGATAGAATTGCGAAGTTAAGCGTGCTCGGGGTGACCACAGAGTGCGATGTGACTTGATATTAAGCATATTGACCTGAGATTAAGCCATAGTGCCTCGAGATTAAGAATAAAATTTGATTTTTTTTTAAAAAGAATTTGAATAAAAATTGTTAGTAATGGCGCGTGATGCTAGTGGCGCACCTGTAGTGCGCCATTAGTAGCCAAAACAGGTGCGCCACTAACATGCCTTTTCCTAGTAGTGGTCAGTGTACAAGATACCTATAGAATACCCAACAAGTAACTTTTTTACATTATTAGGAGACTTTGAGTATGGTCGTTGGGCATATGACACCGTGAGTATCACACATTAGCTATACGACACCATGTGTATCTAATACAGGCAACTGATACCTATTGTATTAAAATTTGAATAGGTTAGGGAGTGTACAACTATACTTTTAGGCCTTATGCCACATCCGTGGGTACCCAATTTCTTGGAAAAATGGGTGTAATAAAATGTGATTTGTCATTTCTGTTACAAAATTTAGAAAGTAGAATACGGTGTGATGGTTAGGTATTAGGTTGTGCAACTATATCTGTCTGACAGGGGTACCATCATGCTCTCTATATATATCCTGGAAATAATACCCAAAATTAGTATGGTAATTTTCTTAATATATGGTCCCTTTTATATATCCTGAACAAAAGTATGACAATGTGACTCATTTTAATATTCAAAATTTTAAAAATACCTGAGAGTGTTGCCCAAAATGGGTGTCATTACAACCCAAATTACATGTTCCAGCACACAATTAGAGATAAAAGATAAAAGGAGATCACTTATCATTTGATACACATGTATCTCTTAAATCCTATTCGCAACCATATTACATCCCGATTTTCATGACTAACATTTGCTATCACACTCGAAATTGCAACTACGGATGCAGGATCAAAAACGAAGAAGTATACAATTAAGTCGCATGTATCCTCATTCGCTTCTCTCGCATATTGATTGTGTCCGACATTGTCACGCAAAGCCTTCATCGTCAACCATCCAACACATCTCAGCATTAGCTCGGCGACTCTCTGTCATATAGATCATTTTTTTGTAGATGTATCACAAGAGAGCCATGATAAAGTTAACTGAAAAAGAAATAAAAAATGCAACGATATCCAATTAGATGAACAAAAAAAGCTTTGAACACAAAGGAAAATGAGAGAAAAAATTACCAGATATATTGAAGTATCCTCACCATTATACATTTATGAGAAAAACAACATGTACCTTGCTATAGGAGCTATTCGTATAAGTCAAAAACTACAAGCACATGGCTGAGATTTGTAGATGAGACAGGGTTTGCGAATTACAACATACACTTCAAGTCTCAGGTTTCACAGAACTATTCTGCACAAAGTACATGAATCCTACATACCTCGCACGACCATAACTTTGACTAACATCGAGAGAGAAAAAGGTCACATCAGGTATGTTCCTCGAGGTGGTAGCTCAGTTGTCCGGGCGGTCATAGTCTCCATGGTGTATTCCTTGATCATGGTCGTGTGCATGGAAAGGTAAAAGAGTGTGACAAAGAGGTGGAGATACCTGTAGTTGAAAATGAAATAGGTAAATTGCTATAGATGTAATAGAGAGATGAACAACCTGGGAGCCCCATCAGCGACCGTGACGGTGACAATGGCAACCATGGCCATGCGGGGTATGCTCGTATAGAAGAAGGACGAGGCAGAGATGAATCACGTAGGTATGCAAATGTGTGCTTGGTTTTGGTCAAGTTTTAATGGCTAGCCAAATGATGGAAGGTACGTGGGCTCCTATTTCTGGTAAACAATCAAATTAGACGGCATCTTTCATATTTTGGAAAGAATCGAATTAAAGGGTAACAACATAACGCGAAAAATTATGGAAAGGAACAAATCACGCTCATGCAATAATATTTGGAAGGTGAGAATGGACCAGAATTGGGACGCATGCAATATTTAAGAATGACTAATGAATGTTGTTAACGTGTGTAGCAATCGAAACCCGATACGCATAGGCAGGATCATCCATTGATCCAACGGCTAATGCTCTAGGTGCCCCAGTTAATTTACCTTTGTGTGTGTGTATGTGTGTGTGTGTTTAATATGCAAGAATAAGAATGTAAGAGTGAAATTCATGAAAAACGAATTCCTAGAAGGAATGAATCGGTGGCATTGGAATTACCCTTAAGTAAGAAATAAACTAAAATAAGAGCTCTATTTTATAAGATGCAAGTATAAGCATATAATAATGGAATTTCCACATAAAAATAAAGTTCCCTAAGAAGGAATGAGTTAGTGGCCGTGGTATTACTCCTAAGGAAGTAAGAAATTAGTAGCATTGGTATTACACTTTAAGAAGAAAGAAAGTGTAAAAAACTAAAACAAACATTGAAAAATTTGCACACTGTGTACAAACAATGTACTTCTTCGTATATTCATGAATAAGCATATAGTGAAATTTTCAAAAAAAAATTGATAGAATTTGCACACAGTTTACATAGAAATTGCGCTATTCTATAATATGCAAGTATAAGCATATAATAATGAAACTTCCACCAAAAAGAAGTTTCATAAGAAGGAATGAATTATTGACATCAGTATTACCCTTAAGGAAGAAAGAAAAGGAAATAAATATTAAAAACAAATAATGAAGTTTTATTGAGAGAACTAATTATCTGCATTGGTAATACCATTTAAGAACAAGAAAATAAAACAAAACTAAGATAAACAGTGACAAAATTTGCAACTAGTTTACAAAAAGATTGTACTTTTTATTATATGCAAGAATAAGCATGTAATAGCGAATTTTTCACAAAAAGAACTTTCCTAAGAAGGAATGAATTAGTGGCACTCGTATTACGGTTAAAGAAAAAGAGAGTAAAAATTAAAACAAATAATGTCAAAATTTGCACATAAATTGTGTTTTTTTATAATAATCAAGATTAAACATATAATAATTGAATATCGCAAAAATGAAGTTTTCTAAGATGGAATGATTAGTGTCATTGGTATCACAGTTAAACAAGAAAATGAAACAAAAACTAAAACATAATGAAAATAATGAAGTTTTCTAAAGAAAAATGATTTAGTGCTATTGGTATTACCCTTCAAGAGGAAAGAAAATAAAAAAACAAACAATGGAAAAATTCACACAAAAATTGTGTTTCTTTATAGTATGCAAGAATAATCATATAATAGTGGATTTTCAAAAAATACAAGTTTCCTAAGGAATGATTTTTAGTGACATTGGTATTACCATTTAAGAAGAAAGAAAATGAAACAAAAACCAAAACAAAATCAAAATAATGAAGTTTTATATGGATGAATGAATTAGTGACATTGGTATTACCATTTTAAAAAAGAGAAAATGAAGAAAAGAATCAAATCAATTAAATGAAGTTTTTTAAGGAATAATGAATTCGTGGCATTGGTATTACTCCCTCCGTCCCATAATATAAGAGCATTTTTGACACTACATATGTCAAAAGCGCTCTTATATTATAGGACGGAGGGAGTACCATTTAAGAATAAGGTAGAATATCATATGGAAACCAATATTCAATGAAAATTTTGTGGAAACCATATTTTGAAGTTTCAAAAAAATATAAAAAAATGTGGGGTGTTGAGAAGATGATGTTTTATTGCTACACAAAGTTTCAAGTTGAAAAACATTACAAGATGTGAGCTATGAAAAAGAAAATTCAGCCCTAAATAGTGACATTACTATTCAGAACTATTTAACCCTGATTTTGTATTTTTCATAGCTCACATCTCTTAATGTGTTTCAACTTGAAATTTTGTGTGGCAATAAAACATCATCCTCTTAACATCCTGTATTTTTTTCAAAAAAAATTTAAACTTCAAAATATCTTTTCTTCTGGTTTTTCACTGGTTTCCATCGAATTGGTTTCCGTCTGATATTTACAATGAAGCAAAAACTTAAAAATTCAAAATTATGAAGTTTGAAAGGAAAAAATAATTATATTTTGATCTTTAAGAAGATAGAAAAAAATACTAAAATAAAATCAAAGTATTGTAATGAAATTTTCTAAGGAAGAATGAATTAGTGGCTTTGGTATTACCCTTTAAGAAGGAAGAAAATGCAAAAAAAAAATATTAAGCAAATAATGAAAAATTTTGCACATGATTTACGCATAAATTATGTTTTTATAATATGCAAGAATACATATAATAGTGGCACTTTGAAAAAAATAAGTGAACTAAAAGAAATAAATTAGTGGCATTGATATTACCCTTATGGCCTTATGGAAGAAAGAAAATGATACCAACACTTAAGAAAATGAAGAGGTAGAATGAATTAGCGTCATTAGTATTACCCTTTAAGAAGATAGAAGAATGAAACAAACACTTTAAAAAACTTCCGCACAACTTGGGACTTTTTAATATGTACAAAGAATAAACATATAGTAGTGTAATTTTCGCACTATACTACAATTTATACACATGTTATATAGTAATTGCATGTATACATTTTACACTCATCCAACATCCTGAATATACCCCTATAAACAGACTTAAAAAAAGAGAAGCAAAAAATGCATACAAACAGGCAACACGAAATGCGTTTCAGCCCAATAACAAATCGGCTGGCCCAAAGAACAGAGTGAAGCAAAAACACGGGACGGATTTTTTTTAATACAAATAGTGCAAATCTGTTCCAGATACGACGAAACGGATAACCTTTTGAAATTTTGATACACGATCAGGGACGTCATCACCTCCTCTCTGCTAGTCTGCTATGATGACAAAGTCGGCAGCCATGACAATCAGGCATCATCATCATCACCTCCTCTCCCTGCCATGATCAGTCAAGGCCGGCGGCCACGGCAACTTGCACGGGTACGCTTCTCCGGCGTACTTGTTTCTCTCGTGCTCGCGCTCCACTCGCATCGTGTCCAGCTCAACAGAGAATAACCACGCCTTCTCGCTCGGTGTCAGCAGGACGTATCTGGTATTCGCCGCAACAACCATGGCTTGTTGCCGGAAGAAGTGCTCCTCGCGCCCCGGCAGCCTAAGGGTGGCCTCCGGCAACTCCAGCTGCATCTCCAGCAGCCACTCATCTTCGTCACTGCCCGGATGCCGCCGTGCGAAGACCTTGAGGTCGTTGCCTATGAGGCGGATGACGCGCAGCGTGCCGTCCTCGCCGCCGACGATCCGCGAGGTCCGTATGTGCGACGGCCCCCAGACGGTCTCCGGGAATGCGGCGAGCGAGAACTCCGCGGTGGCCTCGTCAAGGGCAAGAACGGCGGTGGCGCATCCGTCAATTCCCCAGTACAGAGTGCCGTTTGCGCGCCCTACGAAATTTTCGGGGCCGAGCTTTGGGAGCTCGACGTGGCTGGTGATCTCGCTGTAAATAATGCGCCAGCCGCCATCCCTGCCCGTGGAGAACACACATGCCATGGCATCGTCGACGGCCGCAAGGACCCTGAAGTTGGACGTGCTGACGCGGCGGTCCGCGTCGTCGCCGTCAAGCAGGAACACGCCGAGGCGGCCGGTTCCGTCCAGATCCTCCGGCCAGAGGATCCCCTGGTAGAGCCCGGTGAGCGGCTCGCATACCATAAGGTCGGGGTAGTGGCGGACACGGCGACTGTAGTCGCGCCAGCTCTGCGGCGCCCTCTTCTTGGTGAGGAGGAGGAGGCTGCCGCGGCTGTCCGCGATCTCCCACGATCCGCTCTCCGGGAGGAACTCGAGGAAGAAGCGGCTGCGGTCGACGACGACCGGCGAGGAGGGGACGAAGAGGGGCTCGCCGCCCTGGACGGTGTGGTAGTCGCCGACGTACGGGACCTGCTCGTGGACCGGGCCGAAGCGGGCGAGGAAGCCGGGGTTCCCGACGACGCGGCACCACCGCTTGCAGGCGGCCGCGGCGCGGACGAGGCATGGCGACGGGCCGAGGCGGAGGAGGATGAGCTCGAAGAGGTGGTCGGGGAGGTCCTCCACGGTCGTCGGTCCGGCCTCTTTCTTCTTCTTGTTTTTGGCTTCGCTCTTCTTGCCCCGCCGCCGACGACGAGGTCCCTCCGACGACGCCATATGCGAAGGGAAGGGGAGTGGCGTCTCTCTCACGCACCGCGCTGACGAGTGACGGCCGCCTGTCGCGAAATTCTGCTCTAGATAAACAAGATCGCCACAGCCCACAGCGCGCGCCGGCAGTCGAGCGTTGACCCGAGGCGGCGAGGAGGAGTGCCGCGCCCTCCAAGTCTCGCGCCATGGCGTGTGGCGTGTTGTTAACTACTCCAGCGCGATCGACGCGCGTAAACGTGTCCGCTGAAAGATTCGAGCGGCGCAATGCACCATTTAAGGCGCCCGCAGTCCTTGCACGTCCATGTCAACAAGCCAAACGGCCAGATGTTGAGGCCAGGGACTTAGGAAAAGGAGAGTCCTCTAATTTTTTTTTCATTTTTGCTATGTGTAAGTTGCATGAATTACTATTTTGTGCAGTATTTGTGTGTCTTACAGTGAAGCACAGGCTTTGGATGTCGGACCGACGGGCGAGGCATGGCTTGCAGGACCAGTCATCCGCGTGTTTTACGAGTCTGCAAGACGAGGACAACGTCAAACATATTCCGTCCAAGTGCGTATATGCTCGAAAGTGTGTCATAAGGTGTGGGACCCCCTACGGATCAATGGACACGACCGCTGACCGGTGGTTCAGGTCTTCAGGGAGAGGAGAAACTTCATGGGCACAGATAGGAGAGGCTTCGACACATTGGCCATGGCTTGATCTTTATGGAAGGAGTGTAATGTTAGAGTGTTTAACAGAGTGACGCAACAAATGTCACCGACTGCGCTATCACTTCACGTGCTGGATGAGGTTGCTGAGTGGAGGAAAGCTGGTGGTTTACAACAATTTGTGAGGAGTTAGCTTAACGTTCCTAGTTTGGAGTTGGTGTAAGGCGATGGCCTCGCGTCTGCCTGAATGTTCGTATCCGGGGCATGCTTCTTGTAATTAATCTTCAATCTTCTATAAAAATACGATACGTCATTAGTGTACTGTTAAAAAAAACTATTTTGTGTAAGTCATTTTTCCTTCTGCTAGTATTTGGTCTGCCTTTTGCATTCCATTTCGACGATGAGCAAAAAAGAGTTCATTTTCAACGTGCTAAGAGAGACGAATAATTTTGAACATCAACACTGGGTATAACATAGACATATACACTCAATTAGGGACATATCTGAAAATTGCACAACGTGCTTAGTTTCTTTAAATATTGTGAAATACCTCAATTTCTTTGGAAATTATGTGCACATTTTTTGTCGACAATTATTTTAAGTTTCTTTTTCATTCCTTTCTAGGTTAATAATAATACCCTTAAATCATCTTCTCTAGAAAATTTTATGTTTGTTGTTTGAATACCGAGTATAGAACATGGACACGTAGATGAAAGTTCTATACAATGTGTGTGTAAATCTTGTTGTTGTCCGAGAGTTACACAAATATATGGTGTTCTTACGTATTACGGAATCGTGCAAGTTCTATGTAATCAGTGTGCAAGTTTTGTCATAATTTGTTTGAAGTACTATTTTCCTTTTCATTTTTTTTCGTTTATGGTAATACTAATTCATTAATTCATCCCATCTTAGAATAAGGTTTTTTTAATACATTTTCGTGTTATTGCTGTCTTTTTTTGCGAGGTATTTGCTGTCTTTGTTAATTGATGTCTTCTGCCTATATTTTCCTACAATTTTGCATGCGGCAACAGTTTAATGTACTTCAATCGCGTGACACTACTTATTTTGTGTTAGGAACTGTAAAAGAAATACAGTTTTATAATTAATACTAAATGTCATGGTAAGGGTTTATACTAAAGTATATTATTTATTTAAATGAACTTTAGGAACATCAATACTAAAGTACATTATTTATTTAAATGAACTTTAAATGTACCTATTTTGTGTTAATGTACTTTTGGAACTTTAAATGAAACCCTTACCATGAACTTTAAAGAGCAGCATGCATATATTTGGAATACTAAATTTTTATTAGACACCTATAAACCTGGATGGAGGGAGTATTGTGTATCTAAAAAATGGCTTTGATGCAGCTTCCATAATTGGTTCCTTTGGGGAGAATAAGATACAACACTAGCTTCAAGTCTGCGGCCTGCGTAGCGGTGACCCTGCCACCAACGTCGAGCACTAGCACTAGTTCTTGTTCAGAAGGAAAAAACGTCGAGTACTAGTTTTTTCTTTAGAAACAAGTACGCCACCTTGATGTGGGAGCTGCAGTTTCAAGCATAGAATATCCTGCAGCCAGAGGCCCAAACCTTGATGGCGTAGAGTTAACCTTATATCTACACTACATAGGCCGATTTATGTTCCAGTTTCTGTTTTTTTTTGTTTGTTTATCTTTTCAATATTGTTCTTATTTTTACTTTTACATTTATTAAAAAACCATTCTCTGTTATGTTTGTGTTCACCTTTTTTTTACAAACGTCTCCTTTCAAATACATGAATATCTCTGTTATTTATAATGGATGGGCATTTCATGGTAAGGGTTCATACTAAAGTACATTATTTATCATCGCAGAAAAATAAGAAATAAACTATATTATTTATTTAAACAGTAAGTGGGTGGCCCATGTTGGAGCTAGTGGGTGGCCCATGTTGGAGCTAGTGAGGCGATTTTGTCCCAAATCTCGCTATAGGCGAAGAGTTTGTCCTTAGGAATGAAGGGCCTTTTTCCTACTGAAAACAATGCTCCCCCTGCATCGATTTTTCTTAAGGTGACATATATTGTACAAAGATATGAAAAAAAATACCTTACTTAGAGAAAAAAAAAGGGAAACACGATATTACTCATGGGTTCTGGTTTCAACACTAATTTGGAGATGGACTGAATGAACAAAAAACATAGCATTGCTAAGGACTCTGCTTGCTTCAAGGATTATAAAAACCATAACAACCCCGGTAAAACCAACACTTATCTCAGTCCCTTGAAAAGACAATTAATCTCACAGATTCGCACATATCCCGAAGCCGTCTACTTTGAAATGGGAAGCATCCGAGACTGAAGCACATGCTCCACGGTTTTTAGGGCATCTCCAGCCGTTGGTCCTCCAGGAGGGGCAAAAAATCGCCGGGGCGGAGGTGGAGGCAGGAAGAGCCGCCGGACGAGGAGGAGGACGCCCCGGTCTCCATGCGCCTCGGTGTCCAGGAGCTTCCCCGACGGCGTGAGAAGGACGGGGGAGCGGAGTACTCGAGGCGCGGCGTGTTGCCGCCCTCGATGTACTCGAGGACGGCCTCCAATGTGCGGCCGGGCATGCCCCACCACCGGCGCCGGCCATCGGAGTTGAGCCTGCCGGAGGGCACGACGCCGTTGGTGGCCTCGAGCTGCTCGGCGTGACGGCGGCGGAAGTAGGGCTCCCAGAGCGGGCTGTCGGGGACGTACCATGGCCCCTCCCTCGCCGCCCGCGGCAGGGACGCGCGGATGCGTGCGATCTCCGCACGCCGCGTCACCCCGGTGGGTGGTGGTGGCACCGGCACGCCGCCGACGCTGATCCTCCAAGCCCCGGGCACCCGCATGTCCGGCGGGACCGGCTACTCGGCCTCGAAAAGGAGGCGAGCCTCGTCCTCGTGCAGATGACGGCGCCCGAATCCGTTCGCCCGCCATGCCGTCGCCTGGGAAACGCTCGGCGAGAGGAGGAAAGGGGGAGAAATGAGCGCGTCGTCGGTGGATGATCGGGGTGAGTCTCTCCGGCGCGCTTGCAGTCGGCTTTTATAGGCGGAGACGCCGCGTGGTAGGCTTGGCCGGCGCGTTACGCATGGCGTCATTGCATGGCGGCCGAGGGACGCGCCGCCCAGCCTTCACTGCGCCACCCGTGAGGCATCAATGGAGGCTGACCGGCGCGACAGCTTTGGCATTGATTCACCGCGGGAAACGAGGCGATGAGGACGACGAAGGGGCGAGAAAAAGGTAGAGTCGCTGGCGCGGCGGGCCCGCGGCTCTTCGCGCCAAAAACGATTCGCCCGGCACCCCCCGAGCGACCTCCAACGAGCCGGGTTCGGGTTGGGTCCGCCGACGCCAATTTCGGCCCGAACCGACAAAAACTGGGCTCTTGGAGGCGCGACTGGGCCGATTTTTTGGCGCCGACGGACGAAAAAAGTCTAGAAGGCCTTCTTAAGAGCGCGGCTGAAGATGCTCTAAAGATCCACTCTCCATGGATTCCCTCTGAGACGACACATACGAGAAGCATACATAAGTTTACGAAACCTTCCAACTAAACCAAGCATCACTCCCCCTGATTTTCACGGATGGGCCCCTGCCACTCCTAAACACCAATACTGATGCTCCACGTTGGTATTACGGAAGATACGTACTCCCTCCGTCCTATTATGTAAGATGTTTTTTAGCATTACACTAGTGTTAAAAAACGTTTTACATTATAGGACAAAGGGAGTAGCTATTTTTTTTTGGAAGTCTAGCATTGCCCCTCATAATGGAGTTGCCTGTCATATTTAATCAACCGAGGGAACTTGGATCAAAGACCAACTGACCTGCTGACTGCGAGTCTTTTAGTATTAAACAGCTGTGATCTACGATCCGTTGGCAGATTTAACCTCTGAACTTGCTGCTTGCACCGGTCTTCGGCGCAGTACAGTTCGCTTGTTTTGTCTCCGATGATGATGCTTCGCTGTTCCCAGTGAGATCCACGCTAATTACGGGTTAGTTCACTCACTACCGATATACTATGTCAACTTGCCAGTAGCTCACTGAGTAGCTTTTATGTACGCTAGCCCTCCCACACTACTGCTTCACTAGTCACATCAAGTCCACCAATACGCAGTAAGAAAGGGACTACAGAGAGCTGTAACTCCAACAATGGCGGATGCAGCGCCGGCCGATGAAGATGGATCGCCGAAGAAGACGAAGCAGGGCGGCTTCAAGACAATGCCCTTCATACTAGGTGCTTGATTCCCCCGTGCTTTGCTTAAATTTCTTTCTGCAGCGCAGTATATATCTCGCCCGTGTTGACTGTCGACGCATGCAGCGAACGAGGTGTGCGACAGGTTCGCGACGGCCGGCTTCAACG